AACATTGAACAGGCTTTTATGAGTTCAGGAGCTGCAGTGGTGCTGTGGAGCTCTTCATGGAGAACAATCTGCATCTTCAGAGACTGAGAGGAGCTTCTTAACACTGAAGACAATCCAGACTTTCCTCGGGTACAACATCACATCACTGCACTGACCATGCTCYATAAGAATCTTGTTAAAACATCCCTGAATTTAACCAGAGTCATGAATAAATTTGCTTCTCAGTAACAGAAGAGCAAAATTTATGTACTAAAAATAAAACACTACATGACATTGTAATGCTGTTTTATTATTGTCATTTGTTTAATAAATATACTGGCTTGATACAACTTAGTACATGTTTGATTGCTTTTTGGGATACGTCTATTTTGGAGTTGTAGCCCCACCTGGAGAAAATTCCACCAGCCGCCACTGGCCCTGGTTATCATCTATTATTGAAAGAGGGCTGAGTCAGGGGAAACTGGACACAGGAGCTCAGAGTGGAGCTGCTGCTCCTCTGCATCAAAAGAAGTCAAGTTGAGGTGGTTCATCTCATGAGAATGCTTTTGGGCATGTTTATCTGGAACGAAGCCCCATGTAAGACCCAGAACTTGCAGGAGTAATTGAGTATCTTATCTGGTCTAGAGACACCTTGTAGGAGATATAAAGTGTCCTGGGTACAGGGAGGTCTCCTGAACCTGTTGCCTTTGACTAAGCGGTAAAAGATAAATTTATGGATAATTGTTACTTATTTTTGGAAAGGTGCTGGTTCTTATGTTTTCAGATGACTGTAGGTCTGACCACAAGAAGTTCAAAAGAGAAACACAGACCTCCCACTCACCAGAGACACCCTCGAGCTCCTCCCTGGGGAATTCCAAGGTGTTCCCAGACCAGAGAAGATACACATTCCCTCCAGRTAGTTCTTGGTTAAAACTGGCTTCTTCCCAATGGGACACGCACAAAAGAATTTCCAAATGGAGGCATCCAGGAGGCCCTCTGATCAGATGAATTACTTCTGACTCCTTTTGATGCAGAGGAGCTCTACTCTGAGCTTCTCACCTGATCTCTAAGGCTAGACCAGGTCACCCTACGAAGGACAATAATTTCAAAACTTTTTGTGGATTTGCCTAAATCCAAGATCTGGTTCTTTGATTCATGAACCAAACATCATGACTGCATGTGAGAGTTGTTACCTAGAAAAAGCAGTAAAACTTTTGTCTTTGAACAAAACTCTTTCTTCAGCACAACTGACCGAATCGACGCCCTCATAAAGGTGAGGATCTGTGAATCCAGGTCCTGCTCCATCCTACCATCATCCAGGAACAAGACACATAGATACTTAAACTCCTCCACATGAAAAAAAAGTTTATATGAATTCCTCTGTTTTCCTTCTTGGGGATATTTGGTTTTTCCTTTTTTATTTTTAGGGCAATAGAATATAAAAAAAATAAACATCTTGAAGCATGGGGAAACTCATACGAACCTCAGTTACCATAGCAACAACTGAAATTACAAAGCGCTCCGGCCATCACTGCTTGATATTTTCCTCTTCTTTAAGAATTAGTTGTAAGCAGAGAGCTGAACTGATTAAATGATTCTGTTTGCAGTGGAGCTCTCTGGACTTCATGTTGTTTGCTGCAACCTGGAAAATATGGCCTCTTTGTGTGTGTGTGTGTGTGTGTGTGTGTGTGTGTGTGTGTGTGTGTGTGTGTGTGTGTGTGTGTGTGTGTGTGT